CCCGCCCGAGTACCTTATACGTACCTAAAAGTACTTTAAGGTACTTCAGTACCCGAAAGTTCCTGTGACATACTAGTAGCAGGGTACTTTTTCAGGTACCCTTAGCTCAGTACATTCACTAGGGATATATCACTTTTGGAATCGTCTAACTGAATTTTTGAGTAATCATTTGATTTGAGGTTGTAAAATTATATATCACTAGAAAATTTACCCTGCGTTGCCCGAGTTGGTTGCCCGGGTACCCCTGTGAGTGGAGATTTTGGAGTCGCACATAGCCTACCGTCTTTCTCTTGATGAATGTGGACCCCATGTAAAATTTGATTGCTCTGGGATGAAACATTTGGATTTGTATAGCTGAACAAACAGACAAACAAACACTTCAAATTATAGGATAGATTTTGAAAATATTTGACGGAATAACAAAAAATAAGGTGTATTCAATTGAATCGATGTTTTGCATTATTAACAGCAATGATGATTATAAGACCATATTAACATCTTTTTATCCGAATTCTACAATATAAAGTTTGAATGTTAATTTAAATGTCACAAGTCAGAGAAAAATGTTCTCGATAACTTTATACTTTCAAAATTTAGTTAATTTAGATAAAATTTTTATGCGTAAAACTTGATCAGAAGATTGTTTTTATTTAGATAGAAATACAGAAAATGGTAAAAAATTCTATAAAAAATAATAAAGTTATAGACACCGATTTAAACATTGTTTACTAGAGACGTTTTGTGAAACACATTATCAGTCAAAAATAAGCAAAACAAGTTTAAACTAACTGTAATAAGGATATGGAGACAACGTGTGACAGGACGCAAAAGTAAAATAAACATTAAAACGATTAAGAGCCAATAATTTGATTAGAATATTCCTTTTTAAATTAACAGCAGCCATAGACTAAACTGAAATCTATTTTATTAAAAAAAAAAAGATCTGACGTTTCGACTCTTCATAGAGTCATTTTCAAAGAATATTACAGAATATTACTGTATTTTACGCATGAAATGTTGTGAAAAGAAAGAAGAATTTTGTCTGTATATATTTTTTGTGTTATTTGTAAACA